CCCCCCCCCCCCCCCCCCCCCCCCCCCCCCCCCCCGCCTCTCTCCCCCGTCCCCCTCGCCCCCGCGCGCCGGCCGTGCGCCTGTCGCCGACAGAGAACCTCCCGGGGGGGCGCCCTGCTTGCGACCGCCCACGAGCGGGGGAAGGAGCGGCGAAACCACCTGTAGCACAAGCCGGACCCCCCGCCCGCGCACGTCCCAGCCGCCAGAGCTCTTGAGCCTGGCCAGTGCCTGCCCCCGGGAAGCTCGCCCGGCCGCACCACCGACCGAGCAATCGACTGATGCGCCCGCCCGCCCGCCCGCCCGCCGGACTCGCCCCGGCCTCCGCCCCCTCCGACAAGGAGGGGTCATGCAAAGGACCCACGCGAGTCATGCGCCTCCGGACCCCGGGGCAAGTCTCTCGCTCGGGGACCTGGGCGCCAGGACGCAACCAGCTCCGAGCGCGGAGTGCCCGCGCGAACACGCGGTCCTCCAACACGCCACCTGGCGCGTGGACGCCCGAGGTTCCTGCACATGCCCACACAGGAGCTTCGCACGGACAGCGTCAGGCCCCAAGTGCCCGGCCCGGCCTGTGCAGCCGCCCACAGCGCGGCCGAGCACCTCCGAGCCGCTCAAATGAACAGGCCCTCTCGACGCGCGTCTCACGGCCATGTCCCCTCCCCCCCCCCCGCCCCCCCATCGGCCACAGCCAGAAGGGTCGCGCCAGCCAAGAAGGGCGGGCATTTCCCTTTCTCACCGTTGGTTATGACGCGCGCGCGCGCGCGCGCACCCGCAAGTCAGGGCGCGAAAATTCCACCCAGTTGGCTTGTTGTGCGCGCGCTTCTGGCAGCCACCAACCAGGCGCGCAGAACCGCCCGCGAAAGGGCGGGAATATCCGTGACAAGGTCCCGCCCAAGCGGGAGGCAAGGCACACAACCCCTGCCGGCCTCCCCCCCCCACCAGCCCGAGAGCTCGGTCTGAAGGCACAAAGAGGAAGTAATATTGGCCCATTATTTTTATGACCCCTTATTGCCAGAACTTGTGACATCCTCCCCCAATCGACGTATCGATCTGGCGTTGCACCGGGCGATTCCGCCGGCTCGCCGGCGTGGTACTACCCCCCTCGGCATGCGGGCTCCTCCGGCGGTGCGAGGGCGTCTCCCCACCTCGCGCTGCCCAGCCGGGGGGGGGGGGCGCCACCAGGCCGGCCGCGTCCGCCTCCGGCTAACGGCCACGGCCAAGCCTGGCCCTCGCGCATTGCGCCATGAGGTGCCCCTGGAGAGTCTGACCAGTTTGACGCGTCTGCTCCCGGGGCCGGGCAGGGCCCGGCTACGTCGTGAGTTACGTGCCCTCGGGGGTCTGGATGGTTCTCTTTCTTCCTCTTGTGTGAGTTGCTTTTCCGCCTCTTTTGGCGGCACTCGCCCGGCCCCCCCCCCCGCCCCTCGCCGGGGGGCCTGTGGGTGCGCCCACGCGCCCGGCCCTTTCTTGCCAGAGCATATTTAGATGCCCTCCCCCGGTCGGCCCGCGCACCCCCGGACCCAGAATGCGCTGAGGGATCCCCCCTACAGAGGCTACGGCGATTCCCGCGACGCCCATGCGGGCGCGGGGGGCCCCTCCTCCCTCTCCCTTCCAAGGCCAATATGCCTGGGGAAATGTCCGTCCCCGTCCGTGCGCGCCCGCATCACTCGGGCATGCAGACCTACGCCGAGAGAAACCTCGGGGAGTGAGCTTCTCCGACGCTCTCGCTCCGAAGATGGCGTTATACCGCCCGCACAAGACGGCAGATGCCCGGAAAAAGGGCCCCCCTGGACCATGTGAGGCGCCAACGTACACTCGGATGCTGCGTGCGTGCACCCCCCGGGCCGCGTGAATTACCAACCATGGCCCATGGGGACTCCCTCCTCCCGCCCCCGCCCCCCACCCACGCGCTGTTGCCTCCCCAAGACCCGAGCATGATGTGAGGGCCGATCCGGCGGCTTCGTGAAGCGCCTCGAATGTTGGCCCCTCCCGGAGCGTGCCCTTTCCACCGTCGGCTCTATGACCGGTCTTGCTGGGAGGGCGGTGGGGGGTCGGCTCCGGTGGCCGTGCTACTCCGTGGCGACACCCACATACACATGACTCGCCACAAAATCCTGATTTCCATCCAGATGATCATGTAAAAAGCAACACACACATGATCCCGCCACAACAGGCCGCGATCCCTCAATTGGATGGGCTCCATTCGTTGGCATTCATCGCCCCCCTCGGCGACGAGCTTAATGCGACGCTCGACTCCGGCGGTTGACTCTCCGTGCCCTTTGTCTTCCAAGGGGGAGGAAGCGGTGGGTTTGGTTTGCGGCGTTGCCTGAGTCATGGTCGCTCTGTTCCAAGTTCTCATTAGCCCTGGCAGTCCGCCAGACCCGCTCTTCAGACCAAAGAGCCGAGCATCCACGAACATCGACTGGCGGAGGATGATAGCCTGGGGGGCGATTGGCCAGCCGGGAGGGGGCTCTTTCCAGGCCTGAGCCGCGCACCACCAGGCACCCCGGGATGAAAGTACTCGTCGGATCGCCCCATTCGCTTGTGCCTTCGAGTCTTCCAGCAGCGTTCGTGCTTCCCCCCACCCTGGCTTTCTTACTTGTTCCCCCCCCCCTCTCTCTCTCTTTTACTTCAGACTCTGAGCCACAAAGGCCATCGGCTCGGGATCGCCGGGCGCGACACCGGGTGTCTACCCCCCTCCAGAGCGCCTCAAGGGACCTCCCTTGTCCGCACCCCCCCCCCCCCTCCTCTCCCGCTGCCTCCCCCTCCCCATCCGCCCTTTGCACACCCCGTCGCCGCCACTATCATCTCTCCTGGAGAGTGAGCCACTCCCCCCTCCTCCCCCCCTCCCCCCCCCCCCTCCAACGGGCGACATGCCTTCCGAGATTGTGTAATCCTGCCTCCCCCCATTTTTGAATCGCCCGATCCCACATTCGCCTGCCTCACAAGCTCTCCGTTGCGGTGCCCGGACCGTGTGCCGGCGCCCTCAAAGACACAATGTCCCGCGAGCCACCCCCAACAGCCACCGCGTCCTTTTGTCCTCCCGACTCGACTCCCATCTCGGCTCCGGCTACTGCGTCCCCCTTGTCGCCATCTTCTGCACCGACATCGGCGTCGCACCCATCCCATGCCCCCCAGACCACGCGCCCCCCTATTATGACGCACTTCAGCCGGTCCCCTCCGCCAGCTCCCCCGGCTGCGCTTGGCTCACGTCCACCGCCCGGTCTCCTGCCTACCGGCTCCTCCCCCCCGCGCCTGGCCGAACTGACGGTCACCCCGTCAGACATGCTGGCCAGTAGCGCCGCGCAATTGAGTTTCAGTGCCCGGGAGGCATTCGCTCGTGGCAGCTACTCCCAGGCCGCCGCCACCCTCAATGACCTGGCATCCCTCTGTTTGGACCTGTCGCTCTTCTCCCTGCCTGGGAACTTCCCCGATCCCACGGTTTCGCTGCAGGCCGGTCCGCCCCCCTCAGCAGCCTTTCTCCCGCCGCCTCCTCCATTGGCCCACTCACCAATCGGGACTACGGTGACCTCGGTGCCGGTGCCGGCTCCAGCCCCCCTGGCCACCGCCGGCCCCGGGCATGCCCTCCCGAAGCCCCCGCTGCTGGCTGGCCTTGCCTCCGGCCCCGATGGGGCTTCCTCACACTTTTCTACCGACCCACCCGCGCCAACTTCCATCGCCTCAGCGGGCCATTTGTGCGCCCATAGTTTTCTCACTTCCTCTCTCTCACTACACATCCATCTTTCCTTTCCGCCTCTCTCTCTCTCTCTCCCTCCATTTCCCCCTCTCGTACCACTTACCACTCTCCCCCTGGCATGCCTTCTGCCCATGCCCTCTTTGCTTGCTCCCCCCTCGAGCCAGGCCTGTCCACCAGGGGACTATCTCTCCGACGAGCGTCCTCCAGGGCACTTCCCAATGCTCTTGCCCGGGATGTGAGTCTCTCTTCACTGCAGCTCCTCTTCCGAGCACGGAGCCGCTCGGTCAAGGTGCGCCGGAAGTTGGTTGCCCCTTTGGCCTCCCCCTTCGCCTCTCTGCATTTGGCCTTCTCCATTGCCGGTCCACTCCCATGCACATATCTCATCATTCCCCCCCCCCTCCCGATCCCTCTCTTCCCCTTCGCTCCGATGTCTTCAGCACACCGGCCCCTGCATGTGACCCGGCCTGGAGCAGCAGCCCAGCTCCAGGGCGATCCGGCTGATTCCTTGTTTGATCGTGCCTCAATCGCCTGTAAAATCTCCCCCTCTGAATCCCCCACCCCATCGGGTGCGCATTTTCATGCCCTTTTCACCAGCCACCGCGCGGTCAGACCCACTCCCGCAAGCTACTCTTCCCTAACGCCACAATCGCCCGGACAGTTTCCAATCCCCCTCGGTCCCGATCAGGGCGAGCCTCCCGCCATGAGCAGCCCGGTGCCGGGCCCGGGTCATCGTCACATGGACACCTTCCTTCCCTTGGCGCATCCCACCAGATGGGGATCATCCGGTCGCCCGAGGCCGGTGGCACCTCTCTTTCCCCCCGTGCGGTTCCTGCCACCCTGGATCTCCCCCATTCCCGGCCACTCCACCAGCTGCACCCGACCGCCGGGCCACGGGCCGACCCCCGTCTCGCCTCTTCCTCTCCGGCAATGCCGTCTGCCTCTTTGGCTCCTTCTTCACTCCCATTGCATGGGGAAGGGGAGGGAGTGCAGGGGGCATCCCAACTGCCGGATGCCACCTCGGGCATTGGCCACCACCCGCTGCCACAAAATGCCACCCCTTCCGGACCTCAGGGAATGGCTGCTATTGCAGCTGCCGGCGAGCATCCCCCCGCCCCGGGTTCCCTCCCGCGCAGGGTCCCCCATCATCAGCTTCACATCATGCGGCGCTCACGTTCGGTTGACAGCTTCTTTTCAGCCCTCAACTTCCGCCGACTTGGCTCCCCCTCCTCTGGCAGCTCGACTCCCGGCTCGGTGGGATCATGCCGTCCTCATCGTGCCACTCGCCGACCCTTCCCCATGGGCCGAACCGCAGCCTCACCGGACTCGACCCCGGCTCCCACCTGGCCTGCCGTGACCGGTGCCTCACATCCTCCGGTGCCCGATCCTCCCTCCGCCACCGACGCCGGTGGACACGTCCCTGCCCAAATTCCCTTCCACTTCGATGCCCCGCAGGAAGAGGAGGAGTCTCTTGCGCAGATGTCCATGCACTCGTTGCTCATGTCCGATGCGGCCGCCTCGACTGCCGCCTCGACTGCCGCCTCCTTTTCCATCAGTACTTCGCCCGCGTCTCCGGGGGCTGTCCCCTCATCACCGGTCTCGACCGATGCCCCTTTCCCCGGTGATGCCTGTCCTCCGAGTCGATCCCTGGCCTCGCCGTCCCACCTAGTGTCCCCAGCCATGTCGGCCCTCGCCTCCGGTCCATCCTTCCAATCGGATACCATCCCGGCCGAGTTATCAAAGCGCATCTGCCAACTTGTGGGCCGGGACATCACGGCCATGTCCGACAGTTCCCATGACTTGGGCACCGCACCGATGCTCTCCACAGCCGGTCGCTTGCCCGGGGGCGCCCCGGGTGCCGAAACATCCCCCTCATTGCTGGCTTCACTGGTAGCCAATGCTGCCACCTCGTTGGCTCAAGCAGCCCACATCACACACATTCACTCGCAGCGGACCGCTGGCATCGTGGCTCGGCAGTCCGGGCTTCGTGTGCGGCACAACCTCTCGCTGGCGCTTTTCATGGGTGACCGCCAGAGGAGTCGCTTCGCTGCCGAACTGTCCTCTCTCCTGTGTGAAATCCTCAGCGAATACTGGGCCAATCGGTCCCGAGGGGGCTCTTCGTCGGCTGCAGCAGCGGCCGCTGCCGCGGCGGCGGCCGCGGCCGCTGCAGCAGCCGCCGCCGCGGCAGCGGCTGCCACGGGCGCCGGGGCCACTGCCTGTGCACCTGCCCCCAACCCCGGACCTGGACCACTCACCTGTGTCAATCCCAAGCCCCACCAGTGTTATGTGGTGCCGGCGGCGGCCGCGGCGGCAGCAGCCGCGGCGGCAGCCGCCGCCGAACAGCCAAGCCATTACCCGCGCCTGCCGACAGAGCCCCTTTTGCCAGCCCAGTCAGCTGGCCTTCCCACAACGGACGACCACCACGCCGGGTCTCGGGTGATCATCTGGAACTTGGCCGTGGTACACTGGCAGGCATGCCGGTGGCGGGCCTGCTTCGAGTATCTCCGCGGCTTCTTTTCCGTGACGCCGGAGCTCCGGCTGTCGGCCGCTGCCGAGGCCATCACCTCGGCGGTCTTTCAGTTTTATGGCCTGCCCCAGGGAATCGACACGGTCCCCGTGCCAGGGCCTCTGCCCGGCGCAGACAACGGCCCAAATGCTTCCCTGCCGTCCGGCGCACCTCCCCCCGGTGGCGGGGCATCACCCTCGACCATCGCCACCCTGACCATCGATCGATTCATCGTCCGAGCCGAGCTGACTCGGGTGGATGCCTTGCTGCGTCTTGGTCGGGCCGGCGCCGCCAGCCGGCGCCTGGCACGCGTCGAGTCCTATCTTGCCGAGGCCTGGTCGCATGCGGTCGATGCGGCGTGCCATGTCCTGTCGGTCCGCCAGGACCCCGGGCCTGATGGTCATCCGGTGCCCCTGGCCGGGGCGGATCTCGGTCGGCATCTGGCCATCACGCCCTCCCTCTCCGGGGACAATGTCTTTCTTGGGGAGGTGGCTTCATGCATCGAGAATGCCCTGGATGTCGGGCCATTTGCGCTGGGCGGGCGTGGCGTGGCCGCCGTCGTGGCCGCCTACCGTGCTCGCATCGACGTGGCCATGGCCGGTGCCGTGGGGAACTTCCTCTCACAGGGGGCCTCCCTTTCGGACCTGATTCCCATTCTTTCGCCCCCGATAACCGATGGTTCGCTCGGGCTCCGGACCAATGGGCTCTTGTTGGCTTCTTTCGTGTCGGCCGAAGCTGCTCGGCGCCGGGCTCAAGCCCGTCTATCCATCGAATCGGCCGCCTCTTCCGCGCCGGATGGCGAGTCCGACCTGACTGTCCTGCTTCTGCGCATCCAATTTGGTCTGACCGACCGGGCGGCACGGGTGGCAATTGCCGGGGGTGCGGCTCGGGAATTGAAGCGCTTCGCCGCCGTGGCGCCCGGGGTCTCCCCGCCCCCGCGCCTGGAGCGCCTTGGGCTCCACAGTGTCCAATCCCTCCTCCGGGCGGATCACACTCTCGACAAGCTCCTCCGCCAGGCGGGGGCCCTGGTTGGCCTTCCGGCCCCAGGCACCCCGGTGTCCATCTCTTCATTGGCCAGCTCTGGCACCGGCCCGGCGGGTCTTCTCGACCAGTCGCGTGTGCTGTCGGCCTTTGGTGCGGTCGCCGCCGCACGCGGCCAGGGCCGTGAGTCCGAATTTTGGTACTCCTACGCTCGGCAGGTCCTCCGCCAGTACCAAGCATCTCGGCAGCTGGCCCGCGCGGCTCCCGGCAGCCCGCCTGCCTCGCGATCGGCCCCCGTTCCTTCGGAGCCCGTCCCCTCGAGCGCCTCGTCCACGTCAGCTTCCCCGGCCGATGTCGCTGGTCGCACCCGAGACTCGCCCAATTCAACTGAATCGGCCGAATCGACCGATTCAACCGATCCCACCCCTCCCCCCTCGGCGAGTGCCGCTCCCCCTACTCGACGCATTGCCCAGGAATGGACTGACCCGGCCGGTGACCTTCACGATGTGGTCCGGTCTTTGGGAACCGTGGGCTTGATGAATCGCCCGGTCGGCATGTCGGAGCGTCGGCTTCCCTCCCCGGCCGCCTGGGGAATCCCCGGCCTGACAGCTCCGATCCTGCCACTAGATGACAGCCTCGAGGAGGCGATCTCTTGGGACCGGGCCCTTTCCGCCACCGGGTGGCTGCGCTGTGCCGAGAAGGCCCTTCGCAACAGCCTTATCACTCGGGCCCGGCGTGAGGCGACCACCCTCGCGGCAATGCCACCGGTTCCGGGATTCTTTGCCTTCCCAATGGTCATTGATGGTGGTTCTGGCGTCGAGCCGACAGCCGGCCATCGGCCTTCCGATCCTCAGCCCGACTTCATTGGGCAGGCCCAATATGCCTATCAGTGTGCTGTCAATGCCCGGTCCCTGCTCATCGCCTCCGAGCAACGGGCCGCTGCCTCGCCTCTGCCGCCTTTCCCGCGCACACAAGGGACCGGCGCCGGTGCCGCCGGCGCCGGCATCCCCACGGCCACCTCCACCACTGGCCATACCCCCGGTGGAGCTTCGGGAGCGACGGCCCCCTTCCCCGGGGCACCCACCCCCAGCGGGCCAGCCCCTCCGGGATCAAGTCTCGACGAGTCGACCCTGGCTCTGGCACTGCATCACCATCGTCGGATGCGATCGCATTACCGCCGGCGATTGGCGGACTTCCACTCCCTGGCCATCATGGCTTCGGCGTCGGTGATTGCCGGGGATCCCATCCGCGCGCTCGGATCGTTGCGTCTCATTGACACCGAGATCGATGCGGAGCTGTTGGGCTTCTTCCACATGCATGAGGGCATCGGCACGACACTCCCCCCCCCGCCGGCTGGCTTGTGCGCTGTGCACCCGGAGCACTTTCCCCTCTTGCGCACGATTCCCCTGTGTCCACCGAATGGGCCGCCCCCGTTGGCCACTCAGCCGGCCTCTGCGGCCGCATTGTTGGCCGGGGCTTCCGAACAATCCGGACTCCTGCCCATCGGCTCGCTGGCCATCGAGCGTGCTCTGCCATCTGATCTTCGCCGAGCGGTAGATCGTCTCTGGGCCATGGCGCTAACCCTGTCCGGGAGGCCCCTCTGCGCCGCGCGTTTCATCGCCTTCCGTCTTCACTCATACCAACTGCTTACGCCGGAATTCCTGTTCCACCTGCGCCTCGGTGTGTCGGAGGGCACCGGCGATACTCCTCTGCCGGTGTTCCCGCAGGACCGGCGGACCGCATGTGTTCGCCGGTCCAATTGCCAGCGCTGTCTTCGAGCCCTACTGATCCACGGGCCGCCAGATGATCCGGGCCATGCCCTGCGTCTGGCCCTGGCCTCGTCATTGGCCTCGGCACGCCTTGTGACCCTGGCCTTGGTGGTGGTTCTACCCCTGCTGGAAGACTGGGCCCCCTTCTCTCGCCTGGCTGCCAGTTCGGCCTCGACAATGGCCACTCGGGGCCCCGCAGACCCGGCGCGTGTGTCCCTTGCCCGGGCCTTCCGGCCGCAGGAGGAGGGCCCTCCTCCCGGCCAAGTGTGCTCCTCAGCCGCTGACAGGTCGACCTCGGCCGGGGCCGATTGCTTTGTCGCCTGTGATGAGGATCTTGCCCCGGCCTGGCTCGAGACCGCCAGCACGATCGTCAGTTACTGCTATGCTGTTCAGCAGGAATTGGACCTGGTGACGGAGTTTGCGCACTTCAACATGGCCACTCTCGGGCATGTTGCTCCCGCCACGGGCATCCCATCTGGCGGCAGTGGTGCCGGTGTAGCCGAGGCCGCGATGGGGTCGCGGTCGCGTTCCTCCGCGGCCACCAGCATGGCATCTGCCTCGGACTCGGGGGCTGGAAGCGCCGAGCCTCAGCTTCCCTCGTGGTGGCAATCCACCACGGCGGTTGCTCGTCGAGGGGTTCCGCCCTCGGCGGCGTCGGCGTCGGCGTCGTCGGCGTCGGCGGCGTCGGTGGCGACTGTCACATCCGCGACCGCCACAAGCACCCCAGCGGGCGCCCCTCTCTCGGCCCCGTTGGTCGGGTATCTGTCCTTGCCACGGCTACCAGCCATTGGCTCGACACCAGTGCCCAGCAGCGGCCCTCCGGCACCCGTTCCTCCCGTGGGCATGGCTCCGATTCCCGATGGTGGTGCCGGCGCCCGGGCCCCCGCAGTTCGACCGACCCCCGCCGCTTTGAATCTCCTCCACTCCCTGGGGGCTCTGGTCCCGGGGCAGCAGCATGCCACCGGCGTTCCCCACTCCGGTCACTGAGCCCAAATTCTGCGCCATTTGCGTTGGCAGTGACACTTCCCGCAAAAGACGCCCCGTTTGGGTCCTCCTCGATTTCATGTCTGTCCCCCCTGGAGACTTTGCGGGGCTTCCTTCCTTCTCCCCCTCTCCCTCCGTCTTTTGTGTCCCCGGACGGAGGGATCGTGACCCCCCCCCCCTGGAGGGCGGCTGACACCTTCACATTACTCTTGTCTGTCCCACTTCTTCTGTGTGTCCCCCCCCCCCCCCTGCACACACTTCCCATTCCGACTGAAAATACGAATCAACTTCCTGTTTTATTGCTTTCTCATCCCCCCCGTGCCCTGGCCAGCAAGTCGGCTATGATGTGTCCCCATTTTTGGCCGATCTTCACCCGCATCCTCAGTGTCTGTGTGTCTGTGTGTGTGTGTGTGTGCCTCTCTCTCTCCCTCACGAGGTGATGATGTTATTCGAACGTCTCTTATTGTGAAAGCCTGCGACACAACTTTTGTGCGCTGAGACAGGGGGGGGCTGATGGGGGCAGGGGACTGATCGGCAGCTGGACACCTGCTGAAAGACCTGGAATTACCTTCCAGATCTCACCACTAATCTCCCAGAGTTTCCTCGCCCCATCTCCACTTTCTTTCTTTCTCCCTCTCTCTCTCTCTCCCCTCCTCCCCCCTTCCCCCTCCCCCGACTTCCTTCTTTCTCTCTGCGCATCATGTCCGGGCCGTTGTGCAGTTCGAGCTCGCGCCCGGCCTACCAGTCATTCGCTCAGGGTGCTGCAGCGGCGACCGCCGAAAGTTCGCTTCTGGCCCTTCAAGCAGTGTGTTGCTTCTTTCTTTCCTTCCCTCTTTGCCTGTCCTCGCCTGTGCTGCCCAAACTCCAGCCTCCTACGGCCGCTGTCCCATTCCCATCCACTAACCCTGTTTCCGCCTGTTGCTCTACCGGCAACAGCAACAGCATCCGGCGTCGAAGGATGTCTCCCGTCCGACTTTGATCGGAGGCGACCCTCGCCCCGCCGCTCCCATCTTTGAATCTGGGCCAGTGGCCAGCGTTTCGGCTCGGCCGATTGCCGCTGATCTCGCCGTCGAGGTACATGGGAAGTTGACCCCCTGCGACTCAGCCTGCTGCTGCTGCTCACACTCGAAGACGATCAACACTCCCACGCAGTTTCATCAGTCCTTTGCGGAGCGCTTGAACCTCGGAGAAGCCAATTCGCAAGCCCATTCGGCCCCCGCTGAGCTTCTCACCTCGAAGACCGGTATGTTCCCTTGCTCGGCTGTCAGGGGTGATGTGCTTCTTCTGACAGCGGTCTCGAATGGTTCAGCCCCGGAGCTCCTGGGCCCCGTTGACCCTCGGTACCAGATCCCCCCCCAGCACTTGGCCGCCCTCGTTCCTGGCCCTCATCACGCGTCTCAACTGCCACTGGCCATCGGATCGTCCGTGCCCCCGGAGCTTCTCCAGACCCATCTCCGCATGCTTCAGGCACACCAGGCCCAGGAGGCGGCCATGGCCCGATACCTCGAGGTCCCGGCAAACCCCGCCGATATCACGACTCTCCTTCATGGGCCAGACTCTGAGGGTACGTGCTACCTCCCGATTGGCAGCCAGCCATGACTGATTATCTGCTGATACAACTTTCTCCCTCTTCCTCTCTCTCTCTCTCTCTGCCCGTATCAAACAGTAATGGACGAGGACGATTTTGATCCCCGAGTTTTCGACGCCGAGCTCGACGGAGCCTTCCACATGATAAACAATGCCCACCTCGGTGAGGACAGCGACTCGCAATCGGTCACCGATTGGGATGCTTTCGGGGAAGATCTCGACCCCGAGATCTACGGCCAAATGTTCTCCATGGTGTGCTGATGTATCAACTTCCCGCGTGCCCCCCCCCCTCCTCTTTCTCTCTCTCTCTGTCTCTCTGTGCACCTGTCCCTGACTCACCTCCATGTCGACGCAGGATGGACTCGCGGCGCTTGCCGGTGGGCGGCCACTCGAGTCGTTGCAGCCCACCGCACCGACCCTTGACTCGACATCCATCTTCTCCGAGCCTCCAAACAGCTATCTCTTCGATTCACGCAACCCATTCCTCGAGGAGGGGGCTCATCAGGCTGAAACTGCGCGTGGGGCCTACCAGCGAGCTTTGCAGTTGAAGCGCGAGGGGAATCTCAGTGATGCCACACTGGGTGCGGATTTTCCCCTGCTTGACCCTCTCCCTCGGGGGTGTCATGTTGACTAATGCTGGACTGCCCCCGGCCATCTGGCCATTCGGTTTCCACCCGCAGCCTTCGAAGCGGCGGTGTCCCTGCTGCGTCGGGAGATGGAGCAGACGAACGATCATTCAGCCAGCTCAACCATCCGCCTGGCCTGGTACTGGACGAGCCTCGGCATCTGTCATGCCGACAATGAGAAGGACCAGCCGTCACGCAGTGCGCTTGAAATTGCCTCCACCTTCGTTTGTCAATCGCCGCTCGTCAATTCGGTCCCGGAGCAGTCGAGCATCCCCATCGGCTGGGCGCTCGCGGGGCTGCCTCTCATCATCTCCTATGTAAACAGCGACAGCTTTGACCTCGCGTACATGGCCTCCACCAAATGGGCCACAGCCCGTTATGGCATCAACCTGCAGAAAGACAACAGCGCCGCCAGTGACTCCCCCCTGCCGACTCTTCCTCCCGGGCTTATTGCCTCGAAGGAGGTCCTTCAAAACCTGGGCCGTGTCATCTCCGGCGTGGCCGGCCTCATGGACGATGCGTCGCCCGATCTGAGCAAGCAATATCTCCAGCGCCTGGTCACCCCGGAGGACATGGGCGATCTCGAGGAGCACTGGTCGTCATCGGCCGATTCCAGCATTGTCGAGGCCATGGCCGCGCTTTGCCACTTGATCGGGGACTTCTCCTCGGCAGTCACCTACTTCACTCGAGCGATCGAGCTTTCTCCGACAAAGGTCCGTAATCTCTGTCTGTCTGTCTGTCTGTCTCTCTTTCTCTCTTGCTCCTCTTCCTTCGCCAACACATACTGAGCCTCCCCCCC